GAAAATACTTGGCAGTTTATATATAAACTGTATAATATACAGTAAAACAAAGTTTCAAAACAAAATGTACATACTTTGTCCACCTCCTCAACAAAAATATCAACAGAAATTTCTGAATTCAGTAAATTGGATCAAAGCTAACATATAAATGGAAATTAAGGCAGGGGTAAGACCTTGATACTTGTTCCCAGCTTTTACTATGTTTTATTCTTGCCTCTAAAATTGAACACAAAGTAAACCAGGAACCAGTATTTCCATAACCAATATGAGAACTGAACAATCGGAGGTAAAGGGCAATAATCAACAAAATACTTACGATCATCAGAACCATTCTTAGCTAGTAAACCAATTATGTGATTATTAAAAACACAACTAATCCTTAATTTAGAATCCATATCGTTCATTTAAGAATAAAAACATATATACATTGTATTAATTACAGTATTTTAGTAGTTATTAAAATATAGGTTGTGTTCAAATGAGAAAAAAAAATCCAAGTCATTTAAGTGAGACAGTGATGAAGTTTTTTTCACATTTAAATTCAGGTTAACATTTATAAATCTGGTTCTTGCTACACAACAATCTTATCATAGATATTCAAAACACCAAACATTGGAATAAAATGTTTGTAAATTATATTCATATCCAATACAGCCACAATAATGTCAACGTACGCAGATGTAACATCATAATCTTTAGCCATTAAGAAATTTATGAGTAAATATATACAAGGGAGTAAATTATACCAGCCATGTTAAACAAAGCTGGTATGGTTTGCTCCTATGTATTGGGTAAATACTGAACTACCAACAGTATAAAGCTTGTTCAGATTGCACAGGTTTGCCAGCTAGCCTGGCTTTATACTGGTGGCAAAGGTTCATCACTTTCACCTTGTCATCAATTATCTATACTCCTAATACTGGAAATGTTATAAAACATGTTAGCTATTACCGTGTAAGATAAATCAGTCTAAATTGTAAATTTTCATAATCAGAAATATTTATGAATACTTACAACTAGGGTTACCAAACTTCACATCTTTATCTGACGCCCAGGCAATGCCTGTCCTCAACATTGATACATTTACATTTTGACTTCCATCTCCCTTATATACAAATGTATACGAGTCTGTAATACAAATTATCATTATTGAAACATTAATATAACACTCACATTGACAATTGTTTATGAATCTGTAATACAAATTATCATTATTAAAACATAATTATGATTAATACAACACTCTCATAAACGATTGTGTTCAAACCAGTAATACAAATTAACATTATGAAACGAAAATGTTCTGATATACAGCACCCTTATAAACAAATTCATATGAAACTACATGTATAATACAAACGATCATGTATCGATATATAAATATTCAATCATACACATCACCTTTATACAAATATATAAGAATTATACATATTATCAGTTCTGATACACTTATAGTTTGATATTAACAAGTTTAAGAACCTTGGCATATTTGCCCACACTTGAAGTATGTCTGTAACCAGTCGGTGCTCTAAATTATATTAGTATTACTGAAAATATCGTAATCATTAAGAACACTTTCATAAAAAATTGTCTAAAGCTGCAAGCTTGCTGCTTTAATGTAAACAAAGACCTTTTTCATAATGTATCAAAAACTAGACTTTATAGACAGATGACTGTTATAGACAGAACTAACCATTGAACAGACTGTTAGCAATAGCACCACAAGGTGCAATCTTCATCTCAACAGATGTGTTTAACTTCTTAGTCTTGAATGGTTCACAATCACTGTACAAACTGTCAACATCGTAACCATGTAGCTGGCTGTCGTCTCGTGAACGTACATAACGTCGATGGTTTTGATAAAAGTTTGTGAGTCCATAATACATGTATACTGTGCCCTAAAAAAAAGAAATATATCTTAAATAAGAATTGATATATGATGTACATGTACTTTCAAACATTTATTTGTAAAAAAATCAGCAATGTGATGTCATCACTGATGTGATGTCACATATGTGTTTATTACTGTTTAATCTAATTGGGTTTTCACTATTTCTTCATTTGTAACAAGGGTGCCATAGTCACAAAATACGCCCGTTTACTAAAAAGCTTAAGATGGAGATGGGGGCATTATGGATAAGTGTTATCTAGCAAGCAAGTTTTTATTCTTGGCACTGTGTTGTTAAATGAACCTTAAAACAAATCAATAGGGAAGATATGCACAGAATGTGTGACCTTGACCTTGGTTGCAGGGACCTGAATTTTATGCACGGCACTTAGCCTCACAATGCATGTAGAAGTTTTGCTCCAGACAAGTGTTTTTCTATGAGCTCTAACTGTGACCTTCACCTTTGACCTAGAGACTTGGTTTATGTGCAGGGCACTACGTCTCATGGTGGTGAACAATTCTATAAAAGTAACATTAAAATTCCTCCATGCATGTAGAAAATATGCTCCGGACAACATCTGGATATTTTATCATCTCCAGTGACCTTGACCTTGCAAATATTAACCTAAATTAAATGTGTAACACCTGTAGTCATGATAGTTACCATTTGTGCTACAATCCATCAATAAATGATGACTAAATGGTCCCTATAACCATCTTCAAATTTTTATCTGAACTTTGACCTTTATGTGTAACCTTGACTTTGGTCGCAGGGATCTGAATTTTGCATGCGACACTCAGCCTCATAATGGTGAACATTTGTGCCAAGTTATATTGAAAACCCCCTATGAATGTAGAAGTTTTGCTCCGGACAAGCGTTTTTCAATGAGCTCTAAGTGTGACCTTGACCTTTGACCTGGAGACCTGGATCATGAATGGAGCAATACATATCATGGTGGTGAACATTTCCATAAAGTATTATAAAAATTCTTCCATACATGTAGGGAGATATGCTCCAGACAAAATCTGGATATTTCACCATCTTTAGTGACCTTGACCTTGCATATATTGACCTAAAGTACATGTGTCACAGCCGTAGTCATTATAATGACCATTTGTGTTACAATCCCTCAATAAATGATGATTAAATCGTCCCTATACACATCTTCATATTTTTATCTTTTTTTAAACGGGCGTATAAAAAGTACATGTAATTTAATAACTAAAAAATTCTGATTTTAGATTTTATTCTAGGGAAATACATTTCATTACAATTCTTAATCTTTGAATGAGCTGAACTGATATTTACTTGAAAAATTAAAATATAATTAAATTTCGATGAGAAAGTATTTACATTTGATAAGGTAATTACTGTATGATCTTTGTGAACAAATACCAAGTCTACAGAACACCATAGTTTATCACAGTTAAGAATCTTGACCAATGAATGAAACATGTGTAAATAAATGTTACATTCTTTAGAACATACTCAAGTCCAAGAAAGAGGATTATTTCATGCCCTTTGATTAAATTCTATTTTTTAGAATTGAAAGTGAAAATAGATCAAGGGGAGTAATTGTGTAAGTCATTTATGAACAAAGTAATAACTTTGTTGTCTCCCTTTGATTAAATTCTATTTACAAAATCTGGATATTTCATCATCTTTAGTGACCTTGACCTTGTATATATTGACCTAAATTATATGTATCACAGCCATAGTCTTGATAATGACCATTTGTGTTACAATCCCTCAATAAATGATGACTAAATGGTCCATATACACATCTTCATATTTTTATCTGAACTTTGACCTCTATGTGTGACCTTGACTTTGGCCGCAAGGACCTGATTCTTGCACGCGACACTCCGCCTCACAATGGTGAACATTTGTGCCAAGTAATATTGAAATCCCTCTATACATGTGGAAGTTTTGCTCCGGACAAGCATTTTTCAATGAGCTCTAAGTGTGACCTTGACCTTTGACCTAGAGACCTGGTTCATGTGCGCGACACTGCTCCTCATAGTGGTGAACATTTATATGAAGTTTCATTAAAATCCCTCCATACATGTAGGAGATATGCTCCGGACAAAATTGGACGCCGCCCGCCCGCCCGCCAGGGGTGTTCCCATTAAACGTCCCGTTTTTCAAACGGGCGTATAATAAAAAAGTAAAATAATCAAAGCAAAGCTGCCAGTCAGAACAGGTAGGAATATCCACCTCTTGGATAACTGCTCAGGGGAAACTTGCTGTAGCCTTGTAACCACCCTCAACAGTTACCATTGAGTCAGACATTCCTTCTGTACTGGAAATGGTGTATGCAGCATTGCTTCTTATAATACACATCTGTTTATCTTACCACAAAATCCTCTTTCAACTCTATGTTAAATGTACATGTACATGTCTGCCCTGTGGCTGTAAGGTTTGTGAGAAGGTCAGCACACTTTTCTCCATTACTATTCACACACTGTGTGTAGTCGTATCTATATTCTTGAATCTATAAATAGAAAATAAACCATAAGTAACCAATTTCTATTGCTATATAATGTGCAACAGCTCAAAGAAAGACTTTGTTTTTAGGATTAAAAACCCTAATTAATCTGTAATGACTCATGTAGGTTATATCATACATACTTGATGCTGGCACTCTCACCTTTTTTGGACAGTTTGCACAATACATGTACATAATTAACCTATTACCTGACAAGGTTTTTTCCTCTGTGACCTCATTATCTGATATCTTGTTCTCATAAGGGTCTATAACTTTTAGTTACATTGACATTGATGGTGTTTCGGCAGTATCAATTTTTTGATGTTAAAAATATTATAAACTTGTGAACAAGTGGCCTAAGTGGTGAATTAATGATGGTCATGTATACAGTTTTGATTTTTAAACCAACTATAATTAAAAAACTAGTAAGTTAAAACTTATTTAGTTCAAGCTGGTTCAATCCGTTCATATCACTTTTTCAAGTTTTAGAGTTCATTTACTCATATTAATACACTTACAAATCTGGTGACATTTATGAGAACACAGAATGCTAAGCCAAAGATGAAAGATACCTTTATTGAGCGACACTGTGTAACTACTAACGTAATATACTCACATCATTAGATGTAACTAGTAGAACAACTCCAAGAGGTATAAATGCCAATCCTATAGCAAAGAAAGCTGGTAAAACAGTGCCAGCTGTCAAAATGGGTTGCCATGCTGGAAGTCTCTGTTGTTTTAGTTTTGTATCTGCAGAAAGAAATTACCATTGGTTTCAATTTTCTATAAGTATTATACAATAGAACAATATAATATTATTCATGGATAAAAATTATTCTGTGAGAATCAAACCAGCATTTTAAGTGTTTGAGCCAATTTTTTCAAGAAATCGTGTTTAATTCATGATTAATAAATCTATTAATACTAGTGGCAACTATGAAATGTATAAGATCTATGATATGTGCATGTCAACGGTATACAGAAAATTTGTGACATTTTCCAGACAAGGCAAAATACTAGAGTGGGTGGACCAACGCTCGGCATAAAAATACTGTATTTGATATGGCAAATTCAAATCAACGTCAACAAACCTCAATGTTATATGTCCATTTTCAAGACCGATGATATTGTTTTAAATAGCCATTGCGTAAAAGTCGCTAATCACATAATGATGTGCATGGCTGGAGCTATAGATAGTCCGGATAAACAAGAGTGGTTTGCGTGAAATTGTACCATAGCTCGGCATACAATACTACATGATGTAGGATTGTTTTTCGAATAAAATCTCTTTTTTATCTTATGAAGAAAACATATTGAATAAATTGTAACAACCAAATTAGGTTCATACATTTACAAGAACCCAACTTTTAGTCTAAATTTTACAGCCCCAGAACTCTAGTATTAAAAGATTTTAATATGCGGAAAGTCCGAGCGGGGCAAAAGGCCCCGCGAGGGCTGTAGCGCTCTTAGATAACATGTATGACGCGTATCAATTCAAATAAAATCAAATTAAAACTTAATAAAAATTTCAAAAAAATATATATCCTATACCTAATGAGCTGTGAAAAATCCTTAGTTAACTGGGCGCCGCCATTTTGAAATCCTTTTGAGCTAAATATAGATATAAGAGCGCTTTTAATGAGCGTCTACATAATTCAGACTATTGCTAGCAGACGCATGCTAAGTTACACTTCCGGTGAACGAATGATGTACAAAATCAGAAAATAAACCTGCATTTCATTGATAAGAATTAAAGGAAGGATTATAAATATAAAAAGTTACTTTTACATACCTTTTTGATAAATTAGCACATTAAAAATAACGTTAAAACAACAACTGTGATTAGAGATTAACAAAAATGGCGGTTTAGATTTTCCAAACGCTGACGCATGCGCTGTGGTCCCCCTTTACGTTCGGAGATTTTCGGAATATTCCGAGCGCTCCGATGATAGGTTGAACACCACAAATTTATTCATTTTGTTTATGGTACAAAATACCTGCAAGAAAGATCTTGTTTACATGTACACTAAACATGTTATGCTAAAATGATAATTCAGAAGAGCTTTCCGCGCCATAGGTAGCACCTAATTTCATATTAATTTATATGTTGGGGATTACATACGGTTGTTCGTCTGCTATTAGCATTGTCACGTGACTTTACCAGCAGTGAACCACACCAGGATAAAATGGTGAAAGATGTAAATAAAAGCACCAGTGACCTAAATCGGAGATAACTCGAGACATTTTCAGATATTCTAAAAAAAATATTTATTTACGCCGAGCATTGGTATGCGCCGAGCATTGGTTCAACTTCTCTACATACTTGCTGTTCTAATTTCTAAATTCTAATTGATCTGACCAATCATTTGACAGCATTTTATTTTCTATTTTAAATTATTCTGATTCATAATCAAAATATTAAAACCAAAAATGAACAATCAATATCTATCTATCTATCTATCTCTGGATACTGCCAACCCCTCTTACGAGTGTTACAGGCAGGTATACATTGTATACATTTAAGAAACAGCTTTAAGATACAAGGGAATCCGGGAACCAGTCCCTAGCTCTTATTGAATAGACCCCTTGGTTCTTTTACATGCCCAGTGTATAGCACTGATACAGTGAAATCAAAATTATTTCGTGGACAAAAATCAGAATCCTAATAAATTATTAATGACATATGTCAAAAAGTGTGACGAAAACCAAAACAAGGAAAAACAAAAACATAACAACAGGTGTTTATTTCACAAAGATCTGGAAAACCTCTTAATTTTCGGTAAAAATAAGAATTTAAATATATAAAATGATTCATGGAAGAAATTTTATTAAGAAAATTTAAGCTGAAATCACCTTTTGGACGTCGACTAGCAGCTTTTTCCGCTTCAGGACCCGGAGTTCCTGGTGTACCGTTCGCCATTTTGAAATCTTTTGCGTTAAAGCGAAAGTCTATACAGATTTCATGCCCCTTTTCTATACAAATTTATCTGCCGTAAACCGTTTGACAGAACGATTTTCAGCAAAACATCAGGAAAATGGCCGCCAGCCGATGTTTTCAACTAGACGAGTATGAAAGGAAATACAGTGTTAGATATCGTCGAGGATATGTGACCAAAGGGTTTCAGAAGTCTTGGTATGGTTATTTTGTTATATTTTTGTTATTATGTTAAAAGGTTTCTTTTTACAAGATTAAAGCTAACATCTTTATCAGTTTATATCTTTGCGCCAATTCATGCAATTA